TTTCTCGCTCGTTCTGGCTGCAGTGGCGTCTCGGCAGGCAGCGAATGGCAAAGAGCGAGCCGTTCGGCGTATCGAAGCCGCCGGAGAAGCTCCTGAGCCCCGTCACGTCAACACCCTCCGAGGCCAGGAATCCCACATCGAGGTCGATCACCACGTCAATCGTGCCATCTCGCAGGGCAGCCACGATTTCGGCGTCGGTCAGGTCGGGGTTTAACGTAACATCCAAGTTTGGCATCACAGAGGCGTAGAGGGTAGCGCTGCCTGTGGCAACGTTAGGTTAGCCACACAACTGATGGAGGGGCAGGACAGGAGGCACTCGGCGCACCTTCGGCGTTGGTGATGGTGGTCAGCGTGGTGGCGGCAAGGAGGGATGCGAAAGAGGTGAACGGAGAGGTGTCCAGCACGGTGAAGACGCCCAAGCCGTTGAGTTGAACACAGGACTGCTGGGTGACACGCTTCCGGGCGATGCCCATGAACTCTCCGCCTGAGGAATCAAGGTGCAGAGAATCAGATCAACATCAACAAGAGCAAGCTTGGTTCTGGAGAGATGATGGCGGACCCAAAGAGAAGTCAGGGCCAGCAAGGTCCACGATGCCATCGATGAGCATCTCAATGGCGATGGTGGAGTTGTCCGGGAAGGGTACCACCACACGCTTCAAGGGGACGCCGTAATGGTTGGAAATGATCGAAATCATCAAATTCAGAAGTGTGTCTAGCCCGGCCTGTGTGAGCAGAGGTGCGGTGTTTTAGAATAGGAGGTTAAAAGAACTTGAAGAGCGATAGCGAAGCTGACGTACATCTACGACGTCGAAGCTACGGATGGCCCCACGGCGTAGTACTCTATTCAAGAGGGTGTGTGGTGTGCGCGCAGGGAATGGGAAGAGGCTTGGATCGGCGGCACAATCCAAGGGGATGAACACTGGTCGAACAAGGAGGAGGAGCAGGAGGAAGAAGGTTTGTTTGTTGTAGAGTACACGGGAGAGAGGAAGACATACGTGCTCCTGAGCTGAGTTCAGCGGCAAATATATCAGAGTAGCTTCCATTGGCTTTGGTGATGGCAAGAGCTGAGTCGAAAGCATCCATCAGCGAAGTGTCCTAAAGATCAAGAAGGTAAGTGGCATGTCCCCTATCCTCGTATTACAGGGTGAGCTTGTAGCTTACCCGGCATTCTTGGACTCCATAGGGCAAAGGAGATGGCAAAGAAGAGCAAGAGGAGGAGCTGGAGCAGCAGGAAGCCCAGCAGCAAGGAGCCAGGGCTAGAAACAAGTAGATCAGGAGTAGTCTCATTGTTGTTTGATGAATGTGACAAGTGTAGGTGCTTATTTATCTATAAATAAAAACTAAAGCTCTCGTTAAGTGCTGGTTGTGTCCTGTGCTCTGCATGGCTTTCTTGCAAACCCCCACAAAACCCCACAAACGCCACACAATGTGAGCTCAACTGGAAGGAAGGCATGGTGACATGAGCTGTGGCTGTGAGCCGGGATCGGTGTCATGCCGCCCCAGTTTGACGGACTCTTGTTTGTTTTCCAACACCGTAGCCGACTGCAAGAGGCCCGGCTTGGGTTCTCATCTGTGGCTTGCGCAAAAGAGGAGTGAACGGAGTGGGATTTGAACCCACGCATCCGAAGATAACAGTGCCTTAAACTGTCGCCTTAGACCGCTCGGCCATCCGTCCCTCGTTGCACACCGGACTCCTGCGCCATTATGCGGGATACTGCGTCGGTGGCCTGAGAAACGCGCCAAATCGTGTCAGGCAAAAAGATTGGTTTCACTGGGGTTCGAACCCAGGACCTACTGCGTGTGAGGCAGACGTGATACCACTACACCATGAAACCGACTATATTAACAGTAACACAAAATTAGTCTTACCGCAAGGTGCGCAGATTGTCAGTGTACCCTGCTGGTAAAGCTCGGACGGAAAGATTCATATTGGCCAATATCTATATTATTTTACTAAGGAGAGGTTTTAGGTGCTACTTAAGCATAGTTTTTAAAAAATGGAGATTTAAAATGATGTATGTTTGAAAAAAGGCTAGGGCGCTGCCCGGAATCGAACCGGGGCCTCCTGCACCCGAAGCAGGAATTTTACCACTTAACTACAGCGCCTAGCGTTGTAAAATATTTTGCTCCAAACTTAAACGGACGCATCTCTCCCCTCTTTCTGGAGAGGACTTGCCGTTGTTGTTAGGGAATGTATTGTTGTTCTGGCAGGGGTGCCACAGCTGCCTGCTCGCTTACCGAGTCCAGCAAACGTTGCTGCTGTGCAGCTTCCTGGAACGAGAAGATCCACTTCTCCGTCTCGAGCTCCTGCTCCTTCAGTGCGTCCTCCCTCCACCGATCCACACAGTATATACCGTATTTTGGCTGCAGGGTGTCACCGCGTGAGCAAAGCCACATACCTAAGTCCTTACACTGCTGTCAGAGGGTGCGTGGTCGTACAAAGCCATCTGAGCCGTAGCAGAACTGCACTCGGCACTCCATCATGATGGCTCGCAGTTGCTTGTGTCGATGCCGAAGCAGCAGCCGCTGTACGTGCGAGACAGACATCGGAGCTCTGTCGACGAGGGAGAAAGGCAGCGTTGTGAGTCCACGTGAGTACTATAGGCCATTGAAGAGT